ACACACATACATATATGTATATGTACATATACATGTACTTTATGTGTATATTATGTAGATGTGCGTGTGCGTGCGTGTGTGTGTGTGTGTGTGCGTGTGCGTGCGTGCGTGCGTGTGTGTGTGTGTGTGTGTGTGTGTGTGCGTTGTGTTCTTGGACTTTGGAGACGATGATAACTAGCACAGTGAGTCGTTTTACCATCTAGTTCATTTGTTAAGTGAAGAAAGTGTTTTTACTGGAAAATTCATCTAATAAAAAACAACATGCAATAATAAGTTTTCTAATCGCTGAACAACATGCGATAATGTTTTCTATCTGCTGAAGACACTATGCGAATCAACATTCATTTCGTTTTCCGCGACATATATCTTTCCTGTACACGGCAATCATTCTACAATGAATATTGATCGATATGTCTTCAGTCATTGGAAAACATTACCGTACATTGTTCTTTATTAGATGAATTTCTCGGAATACCATTTCTCTGCTCAATAAATGAATTGTACGGTAAAGAATTAATTGTGCTCATTATCAACACATCTCCAAGGACACATGACATCATATGTACAAATAACATTGCATAGCCAAAACGCGCAAGCATCGTGTCAAAATTTTGTTGTCAACAATGAAAAGAGTGAACTAAGAGCTCAAAACCTACCAACAATTATTCTTCCGGGACTTCCAGTTCTCCAGCATTAATGTCGTCTATAAGGTCATGAGGTGGTCTGCCTTCCACAGTACATCCTACTGACTGGCATGTACCCAAGATTTCTTTAACGGTACCACTGAGTGTTCGTGACATTGATCTTGATCTCATAGCGCGTGCAATGGAAACAATATCATCAAACGTTAGATTACCACTATGTTTGATATTTTTTTGCCTTTTACGGTCTCTGGGTGGCTCTTTCAGAGCTTTAATTATCAAGGAAGCAGCAGATGGTACAACCGAGATTGTAGCTTGTCTATTCTGAATAGTCAGCTGAACGGTGATTTTCAAACCTTTCCAATCACTGGTAGCCTTGGCAATGTCATCTCCTACTTTTTTGGGAGACTAAAATATGAATATTATTAATTATTAATACATTATATATATATATATATATAATTAAGAAGTATTATCATAAAGAAAATTAGTTTCTATTGAAAATATCATAATAAATTTTTTTCTGTAAATCTAGAAAGTATGTTAATTTTAAATTCATTAAAAAGTATACAGTTAACACATACAGTATTTAGGTAGTGAAAAAGCACTGTATGTATATACAAAGGTGATTTATTTTAATCTTAACAAATGAATATTTTGAAAAATATGAGATACAGAAAAAAGTTTCAGACAAAAGTGGAATGATTTTAAGGAGGGTTTATTTTGATTTTTTTTTGTAAATGCAGGCGCCAAGGAGATATGAAGACTTGAAAACTGTATATAATATTTTAATATTTAAACAATTATATAACAATATGGAGTAATTATTTATGTTAGCTCATATATTTTTTTAATTTAAAAATGTTTTTGTTCATTTATATAGAAATAGAAATAAAATTCTACATTCTAATAGAAATAAATCTTATATATTTGTCCTATAATGTATATAGTTTGTAAATCTAGATTTATTGTAAAATTACAATTTTATTTCAAAATTGTAATATTTTGAATTTCATATTTATTATTACTTATTATAACAAAATTTACAAGAATTATTATTAAATAACAGAGTTGTTACACACAAATAAATTATTATATTTCCTTAATAAAAGATACAGAAGTTTCAATTAGAAGTTTTATTTTTTTCAATCAAACTTACCAAACCAAGAGGACCGATTTTAGGAGCAAGAGACGAAGTAGCTCCTACTTCACCACCAACGCATCTCAGAAATACTGGTATGAAAAATATGAGCAATTTAGCAACTTTTCTTTTTTTAAAAGGTTATGAATTTTTTAGAAGTTTTCATCTCAAAACTACATAAAAAATATAAATAAAATACCTTTCTTTATTTCATTTGGATCAAATTTAGGAGGCATTTTGGTAATTTCTTTTGATGATTTTTATAAAAAAAACGTAGATGAAATTCGATTAAGAGAAAACCACGCTTTCCGACTCCACACTTTACAACGGAAAAGACAAAATGCAATGCACCATTAGACCACAATATATACAGTAGCGCAACTCTTCTGATTTTATGTTGGCAAAAATGGAGTGCGCATGCGCGAAATCAGTAAGTTCCCCAGTAACTCCATCTAAACTTCTATCTCACTTCTTCCTTTTTCTGT